CTTGGCCGGGGTACCCATTAGCAAAATCTCGGTGCTGGAACTTGCTTGGTTGCCGAGTTGAAATACTCGGACGGACGAACACGCACGCACACGCACACACACACACACACACACACACACACACACACACACACACAGGGTCGCCCAATATGCGGTTTTGCAATTTGCATATAGACAAAAACGCATAAAAACCGCTAAACGGAAATAGTTTATTTCTTTTTATGCAAAATTTACTATGATTTTCGACATTAAGCACACAAGATAGGTGTGAAAAAAAAATCGTTCATGCAGTTAACTTAATTCAAGTTTAGTGCAAAAACGCATGATCGCCCCGGCTTGCCTGGTGCGATCCAACCTGGGTTTTTTTTAGCGAATCGTCTTTGTACATATGGTCAGAATGACTGCGACGCGCATGCAAAATGCATTGAAAAGGGTTCCACTGATTATACATGTGTCTGTGAAGCTGATTACATGGACAAAAGCCCAGATCCAAGCAGACCAGGTTTATCTTATCATATGCTTATTTTTTATGGAGTTAATCAAGTAGCATCGTGAGTGTGTATAGAAAATGACACAGCCAGAATAACCGTACGATGGATCTGTTATAAATTTAATCGTTTGTTTATTTTGAATTTATCATTTGTTATTTTGGGTGTTGTGCATACGCAAAAAAGTAAACAGCCAGTCGCGGGCTGCACCGGAAGAAATGACACTCATGCACTGAATTGGCGGTGAAGAAAGCTTTCACTCATGTCGCGGGGTATTTATGTCCTTTTGAGTCCCTTTTTGTCATTCACATCCCTCCCAGCTCAAGGTCAAAGAGCCTAGCTGCTACTAATTTTCCACCATAATAAAATTACTATTCTGTCGTGTCTTCACCGCTTAAGCTTCCAGGATCAACCTGGATGCTACAATCGGTTTACTAGCCTCGAATGCCCACACGGATTGTCTGGGCAATTGTCTGGAAGCATGCAGTTCAAAATCGTATGCAGTCCAAAATGTGGGAGCATTCCAGTGACATCATTAGCATGGGATACCCATACTGATAGCCAGCGGGCAGTATCGGTATTCTTAGTGTCATTTTAAAAAAATATTGACCTTTTTTACATAATTTTGAGTAATTCGACACGCACATATTTGCAGGACGTGTGTGCGTTGAGCGCATATGCATAGATCCATCAAAGCACGATTGTCATGTAGCTGCTATATGCACTGAAGTTACTGGTCCCGAGCGCTATAGGTGCTCATGCCGGAACGGCTACATCGATATCAACCCAAGCAAACCTGGTTTGTTGGATTCGTTTCATCTGCAGGAGCTGATTAGTGAGAGACGGATCCTTCACGTCAGGATGCCGCTAGTTGCCTCCGGATATCACTGGCAGTGAATACATGATATTTTGAGATTTTTCGCTTTTTCGAAAAATGGAGTTTTCACCAGTTGCCAGTTTAATGCTTTTTCCTTGTGGTATTAGTCCCTAGAGAGAGCTTAAAACTTGTGTTATTCTTGCTACTGCCTTCATGCAATATAATCCATGGTGATATTTGTTGAACTAGCACATATGGTACTGTTGAAAGTTGCCCTGTTGTTGTGCAGTAGGACGAAGCTTCGACTCCGCTAATAAGAGAACTAATTCCTTTACGATTCGCTCATTCGTTTCGATGATAAATTAGCACCGATGCATGACAAAGAGTCAAATTTGCCATTAGCTTGCTTCTAAGCAATTCTTGAAAGAGGGAACTATCAATAGCCCTATCATTTGACTGATTAATGTTGGCGCTTGTTACCGCTTCGATTTCACTTCTGAAAAAGAGTGAATTAGAGTGGGGCTATTTATCGTAAAAAATACTTTAAAAACAATACTGCTGCTACTCCAAAGCAGAAAAAATCGATCGAGATTGTGTCTTAATATGCTACCTTTGCGCTAATATGGAATCATTTTTCAGGAAGAGAATGCAAGGAATCAGTAAATGAATGTTTGGATCCGTCACTGAACGACTGCGACCCGACAGCTACATGCCATGATCTGAAAGAAGGATACACGTGTACCTGTCCAGCGAATTCCAAAGATCTCTCTCCGGATAAGCAAAAACCTGGTCGCAAGTGTTACATCGTTAGTCCTCCTACGATTTTCATGAACGCTGGCATCTTCCCTTAACTTGTTTCTTCCTGAAAGTGAATTTATTAGGTTGGATAGGAAAGCGGCTTTTTCGTGGCTATTTTAGCAAATTTTTAAAGTTAAAAGCTATGTTACTTATTAGGTTTATGCAGAATTAAAAATGTCATTCGAAGAGTATATGTTAAATAGAAATAAAGTATGTTGGAAATAATAAATAGAAATAAAGTATGTTGAAAATATTAAAGCTTGAAACTCATAATATGGGTGGGAAATAGTAATTTAGCTAAGATTAAGGAGTTTCAGTCCATTAACTTGCATGTTCTTAACTCAAAATAGCAACTGAGCCTTGTTAGTACAGCGGTTGTGGCATAAGTTATTGCATAATAAATAATAATTGGCCAACGCACGGGCTGCCCGTGCGAAGATGCGTTTTTTGCAGAGTTCCCCGCAG